AAGAGAGAACTCTCAACAGTTGTAAGAATATGAGGAGTATATAATGAGGAGTTTGAATATGTTAGTGAAGGGCACAAATTCAACAAAAGTTTAGCACATGTCTCCTACTCTATGCTTTTGTGCCTCCCAAGTGAAAGAGAGCACGAAGGAAACCGAATCTTGATCATTATGTTTAGAATTGGTTTTTCGAAAAGATACTAGTAAAAAGCACGTGCTTGTGTAGGGATTTATGATAGAACTAAAATATATTCTATCAAAATAAAGATAGAAATAAAATATGTAAAATAATTTAAATAATCATAAAAATTAATAAGAAAGGCATTGTCATAAAAAATATTAAATCTATTAAATACATTTAACCAAAAATAAATAATTAAATATGGATATCATTTTCATCTCTTCGTATCAAAATAATATTCTAATATATCTAAAAATTAATAATGATAAATGCAAAAATTGGTCATAATTTATGAATGTATTTTTTAGGCATAGAATTTCGGCCAAAAATTTCAATTTCATATTGTAAAATTTATTAACAAAGTGAGATGATGACTTAGAGTATAAAATAAGAACTTCTTTTAGATTTATTATCAGAAAATTATATAATAATATATATGATGTTAAAGTTATAAATAAATAAATATTAAGTAGATATACATTTAAAGACCTTTAGAGATATATATAGCATCACTAAGCATAACGAATTCATTATAGCATCAATACCTGCACAATAATGAACAAATAAAAAAATTAATAAGAATAGACAAATCAGCAAAAAAAAATCTAAAAGATATCAAATACAGATAAAATAATAAGACAATGCATAGGGGTATATGGTAGGAGAGGGTTTTGTTGGTACATGTGGGTGGCTAAGGGGCCTCACATGTGCTTATTTCTCTCTCTTTATCTTAATAATACATTTTAATATTTACCACTAAAAATGCTTCTCAGAGAGATAATACATTTATCCTATGGGTAGAAGATAACTACCCACCTCTCAGGTAAAGAAGGCCACCTTCTAATGGTGTCCTCCCATCCCTCTAAAACTAGGGTCTCATGGCTATGGAGAGTACACAGAGAAAGCTTGGGTTCTCAATTGTTTTGGTAAAACCCTGATCTTTGCAATTCACAGTCTTACAACGTTGCTTTCGATTCTTGGGACTTTGACAGGTTCATCTCTTCCCCTCAAAAGTTCAGCATTAGTATATTTTCTATTCTCAATTTTAGCTCTCTACTGCTGCCATCTAAGCTGTGAGTCATCACAATTGAGTCATCACAATTGCCTGAGTCGTGTTTTTTTTTCCATTGTTGACAATTTTTGGTGCATCGTATTTTACTACCCCTATCTTGAAACTCATACATATTGGATGGTAACTTTCTTGTTAATTTAACAACCTCCCTCTATATGTATTCATCATATTTTATTGATTCACCTACCTTTTGCAGTCCTCTTGCAATAAATTAATTTTTAACCCTAATCTTTATGAGCATAGTTTTCTCTCTCTCTGCTGTTAACTAGAGGTTAGGGCAGTCGTGCGTTTCTTACCGATACAAGTTCACTGTATTTTTTACCAAGCCCTCCATCTCACAACCAAAGTAAGTTCATCTTTTGAAGGTTTTTTTTTTTTTGCAGTTAATATCACAAAGAAACTCACTGCATTTCAGTGAATTTCAGAGCTTTTCTTTTCTATTCTTTAACTTTTGCCCAAAGGAGTTCACTCAAGTTTTTTCCCCCGGAAACCTCGTGCACTGCAAACACACACCTTAACCACTCGGCCAAAGCGAAGTGGTAATTCTCTCTCTAAATTTGACGGTCATAATAATAATAAAAAAAAAATTGCTGCTGTAATTTTGGTAAGAAAAAGATGTTGCTGAAATTTTAGAGAGAGATATATAAAGTTGTTGTAATTTTAGAGAGACTGAGACACATAACTGTTGCTGAAAATTAATGCATATTTTTCTTGGATTATTTAAATTTGTTATGCACACAATAACTATTCGAGTAAAGATCTACATATCAATTCCCTGCATTTTTTTAGTTTATAATTTAGGAATATTTCTATATATTTTATTTGTATCATACTTGTCATTGCCTTACATAATTATCATATGGTTTGGTCACTTTAAGTGACAAAATTTCATGATCTTAAGGTAGTGAATTCAATTTTTCTGATTATATTATGCTATATTTTTGTTGAGAATATCAAATATCATTGTTGGTTCACTCTCTAGAGCTAAAACACATTCATATATTTGCATAAATTAGTCTTGTGCAACATTTGACATAAAGTAGTTTGTTGCCTTAATTAGTTTTGTTGCATCACAATAGTGCGAACACAAATTGTTGGAGAGAATTCTTCATTGAATCACTGCCCAAATACAGTCGGCAACGTATTGATTTGACTAACAGACAACCATTTTCTTAAATATAATTAATTTTTTTGAGCTTTTGGCATTATCTAAAATTTAAAATAGTATCTAGGCTAGTTCTGTCAGAACTATCCAAACTTGAAAAACTCAATGGAACCAATTTTTCTATATGGAAAAGAAAAATTGGATATATTCTCTTCCAAGATAGGGTGGACTATGTCCTAGATACAGAACCACCAGTTTTAGAGCCTAATGCCAATGATCAAGCCAAAAGACGACTTGACAAATGGTTAGAAGATGATAAAGTAGTTAGGACCTCTATGTTGAGTTTTATGGAAGATGATTGAATTAGAGTTTTTGAGAACCACACCACAGCACAAAGTATGATGGGCATGCTATCTGAAAAGTATGAGACCACTTCTGAGACCCATGTACAATTAGTATTAAAAAAATATAATTCTTCCATAATGAAGGAATCAGACTCAGTGATCGAGTATGTCAACAAAATGATAATGCTCGCAAAGGAATCTAGTCTTTAACCGCATGCAAGTGTCCATTGTCCTTAACAATCTCCCTATATCTTGGGAACCTGTTGTAATTAATTGAACCACTCTGCATAAGGGATAACTATGTTGAATCTTCCCATGTACCTTAGGATTGAAGCTGAGAGAAGAATGAGGAAAAAGTCAAATGTGTTCCACTTTGCCCAAAGTTCATCTTCTCAAATTCCCAATAAACCTTATAATAATCAGAATAATAATAGGTATAAGGGAAAGAGGAGAAATGTTAAAAATCAAAAGAGTAAGGTTGAAAAGACATGTTTTTATTGTAAAGAAATTGAACACATCAAGTTTAATTGTCCCAAGTTGAAAAACAAAAATAAGAACAAGAATAACAACAATGCTTGAAGTAATAATAATAATCAAAATAAAATAAAAGACTTGATCTGCGTAGTCTTAGAATCAATAGTTGTCGACCATGACTTGAAGAATTGGTGGATCGACTCAAGCTCCATTTGACATATCTCGAGGACTAATGATGGATTCATGGAGTTGAAGGAGATCGCAAGCAGTAACCAGCGGATTTAAATATGGAATGACACCTACTGCAATGTACTTGGTATTGATACTTTTAAGCTATGTTTACCAGGAGAACTGAATCTCCTATTGACTGATACTTTGTATGCGCCCAATATAAGGCGCAACTTGATTTATGTTCCTAGGCTAGACAACAAGGGTTATAAAATAAGGTTAAGGTCTGGTCGGGTCACCATTGGGAAGCATTCTAGAGCATTGGTGTGTGTTACTAAAGTTGACAATTTGTACCGATTGAATAGTAATGAAAATTCAACTCTTTCTATTTATTTTAATACCTCTTTTGATGCTTTTGTATGGGTAGATGATTCATATTTATGGCACTTAAGATTATGACATCTAAATAAAGATAAAACTATTTAGTATTATTCAAAAAGGCTTGCTCTACAATTTAGGAGAAATTGTATTTAAAACATGCGAGCCATATATTTCTGGTAAATTAACTACGAAACATTTCTTTAAAGGGAAAAGGCCAAGTGAACTACTTAGTATTATTCACTCTGATATATGTGGCCCATTAAATATAAAAACACAAAGGTATGAAATATTTCATAACATTTATCAATGATTATTCACATTATGGATACGTATCCCTAATTAGTAGAAAGTCAGATGCATTAGAAACATTTAAAGAATATAAAGCTCAAGTAGAAAATTAGCTAGGTAGACATATTAAAATTATTTAAATAGATAAGGGAGTTGAATATTTCTTCACATTATTTATTGAATTTTGTAAGGAGCATGGTATAATTAACCAAACAACCAGGTCATATACACCATAACAAAATAGTGTAGCTGAAAGAAGAAATAGAACTCTAATGGACATGTTTAAGTCTATAATGAGCCATTCAAATTTAACACCTTATTTTTTGGGTGATGCTCTCAACATTGTAATGTATATATTATTAATCGTGTTCTAAGTAAATCTATAGAGTTGACCCCATATGAATTATAGACAGGTAGGAAACTTGACCTTACTATATTGAAAGTTTGATGTTCTTGGGCACATGTGCTTATACCACTACAAAATAGAGATAAACTATAAAGTAAAACTATAAAATATTCTCTTATAGGTTACTCAAAAAATTCCAAGGGCTATAGATTCTATAACCATGATATTAGATCATTATTAGAGATTCGTGATGCTCATTTCCTAGAAGATATAGATGAATAACATACTTTAAGTAAGCTTATTAACTTATATGAAATTGATTATGATAAGGGTCTCGAAGACCCTATTTCTCAAACTTCCTCAACATTTGGTGAGAATAATTCAAATGAACCTAATATACCAGATAGGCCTAAAAGAATTAGAGCCCCACCTACGACTTTAAAAGAATTTTATGTGTTTATGAATGAAGATAATTATTCTTCAATGAACAAGGATTCAATAGATAAACCTCAAAGTTATAATGAAACTATTAGCTCATATGACTCAGCTGAGTGGACTTAAGCCATGGATGATGAACTTCATTATATTAAAAGAAGGCAAGTTTAGGAGTTGGTTGAACCTCCCTAAAGATAGAAAAACCATTGGTTATAAATGGGTCCTAAAGAAAAAGCTTAATGTAAATGAATCTATTTATAAATATAAAGCTAGATTGGTAACTAGAGGATTTACCCAAAGGGAGGGTATATATTATGTAGAGACTTATTCTCCGGTAGTAAAATTTTCATATATTAGGATCAGCCTAGCATTAGTTGCATGTTATGATTTAGAATTATTTCAGATGAATGTTAAAACAACTTTCTTGAATAGAAAATTAAAAAAAAACATATATATGAAACAACCACAAGGATATGTAATGAAAGGCCAAGAAGATAAAGTATACAAACTTAAGAAATATTTATATAGTTTAAAACAGTCTTCTAAATAGTGGTATTTTACTTTTCATAATACAATCACTGAAATTGGTTATGTAGCCAATAGGTTAGACCATTGTGTATATGTCTGGAATAGTGTGAGCAATTTTGTTGTATTATCACTATATGCAGATGACATTTTGATAGCCGGTAACAGTGTTTTAAAAAACGTCGAGTCGAACCGGACGACTCGAAAATTGCAAAAAATGGATCGTATCGGCTAAAAAATCGGAAATCGTCCGATTCTAGAGAGAACAGGACGATTCTGTACAGTGACTCGCCGATTCACTGTATGGAATCGGCAAGTCCCGTAGGGAATTTTTTTTTTTTTTTCTGTAATCCGTGATAGATTTTTTTGTAATACTTGATCGATTTTTTTGTAATCCATGATCGAATGGTTTTTGTTTTTTTGTAATTCATGATCGAATTTTTTGTTTTTTTGTAACCCATGATAGAATTTTTTGTAATCCATGATCGAATTTTTTCTAATTCATGATCGAAATGTTTGTTTTTTTTTCTTGTAATCCATGATCGAATTTTTTGTTTTTTTTTTTTTTTGTAACCCATGATAGAATTTTTTGTAATCCATGATAGAATGTTTTATAATACATGATCGAAATGTTTGATTTTTTTTTTTTATAGAGTTTTTTGTAATCCATGATTGAATTTTTTGTAATCCATGATCGGATTGTTTTTTTCTCTTTTTGTAATCCACGATTGAATTTTTTGTTTTTTTTTGTAATCCATGATCGAATTTTATGTAATCCATGATCGAATTTTATGTAATCCATGATCGAATTTTATGTAATCCATGATCGAATTTTATGTAATCCATGATCGAATTTTATGTAATCCATGATCGAATTTTTTGTAATCCATGATTGAATTTTTTGAAAATTTGTGATTTTTTTTTTTTAATCCATGATCGGATTTTTTTTGTAATCCATGATAGAATTTTTGGAAAATTTGTGATTTTTTTTTTTTATCCATGATCAAATTTTTTTTTCTAATCCATGATAGAATTTTTTGAAAATTTGTGATTTTTTTTTTTAATCCATGATCGATTTTTTTGAAAATTTGTTA